CTCGATATCAATCTTAGTCTAAAGGTAGAGAATACGTTTTATCTGCCAGGGATAGTCCGAGATCTAACAACACGACTCTGATAGGATTGGGTTAAAGAAAAGGGGTTTATTGATTACAAAGTGGGATAAAACATAACGAAAAGGGATTTCTGGTCACATTTGAGTAGGAGCTGTACACATTTCATTCAAATTGAACATTTAACATGGAGCAGTCTTACTTTGAAGCCGTTCAGAGGGAGATGGGTGGTTAAGATGAGGATGGAGGAATGAAGAAAGGATGAGAATGAAGAATAGGATGGAGGCGGTGTCTCGTCCACGTGGTCTTTGTTCGAACAGGGAGCAGGAGGAAGCCGGCAGGTCGGGTCCAGGCGTGGGTTCCACACACACACGGTCTAGAATAGCGTTTGTGGTGGGGTGTTCCAAGGAGCCCGAAAGTGGCGATAGAAGGTCCTCGTCTCCGACAGCGAGAGTGGTTGCTGTCCTCGTGGATGTACAGGCCCGAGATGGTGGCGGGCGTAGGCCGTGTAGGGGACACGTACCAAACGGGATAGTTGTTATAATGAATTCGGGAGAAACAAGAGAAAGTACAATGGCTTGTGGGTGCTTATATTGACTTCCCCAGGGGAGGCGTGTCCAATGCCTCCCCTCTCTGTGGACAGACCCCTTCACAACAGACATTTTGCAAAGGAAACACATCGGATTGATGCAAATGATCATAACACATGTACAAACACACACCGTATTTCATTACTTTGACATCGATACACACATGTGAGGTCTGTAACGGTTATCAATCATAATATCACCGAATAATGTCCTTTGAGTGTCCGCCTTGGGTGTGATGGCGTCCAGTACCCACTGGGGGGCGCCAGAGGGCCGCGGGTGGACCCCTTGGTCCGTGGAGTGCATTGTGACAATGCTGATTCGTATCAGATTCTCTGTTGACATGAAAAAGGCCCCAGATGGGTATCCCGCTGTTTTATGGGTCCGTCTGGCGTTTGAATCCTCATGATGGATATCTGCTCCTGTGGTTGAACCCCATGGTTCCTTTGAAGTTGTATCTCTCCATTTGGTCAATGGTAAACAGAGCGGACGGCTCGGCCCTGCCCTCAGTTTAACCTTACAAATATAACCAAAAGTAAGAATAAGTAGTCAAACTGTATATATATTTAAAATATATATTGTCCTTTCTTACCTTGTCATGCTAATTTTCTGGGGCAAATCACGTCTAATCCACACATGTGTGAATTCGTTTTGTTCGTTAGGGTCTAGAGAATAATTATATCCAGTTGTTTTTTCTACAAAGTCATCCTTATAGTAGATATCCACTTGCAACAATATATTTGAGTATTGAAAGTGGCACAAACAAAAACAAAACCTGTTCTTTGCGCACTGTATGAAGAGGACATTTTACTGTTTAGCTAGCGTCACTGGGTATGTTCGTCTTCCTCTAAGCCTCCCCTTCAAAACAAGCCCATTCCCGGACTTTTCAGTGCTATGGTTTGGAAGGTAGAGTAAGTTGAGTAAAACAAGCGCACCTAGCTTTAGCGCTCCATTCACATAGATATCTGTGCGTCAAGACAGCATTTTCTTGACTACCATTGGCCGATTTGGATGTCAATCAAATCATCTTGTAGCCAATAATCTCAGGTTTCAGGCGATGTGTCGGACTTCTAGTTTCCTCCCACTGTTCCCGTCATATTTGAATGCGTAAAGAGGAAGACGGAGCCTTTTTCACGGAGAACAGGCGCTATAACTATATAAATAATAGCTTTTCTGAAAACATTTCAATATCTGGAAAAAATGCTATTTATAGCAAGAGTAATAGCCAAAAAATTATATAAATGGATTTTTGGTGTAAAAACATTGATAATTTGCATGTAAAACACTTTGGCACAGTTGGCACAAAAATGGACCACTTGTGCCGAATGTGCCCATTAGTTACAAAAAAAGCCCCCAGCATCAAAATAGTTCCACCTAAAGGTCTAAAATTTCATACAGGTGTTTCCAACACCACGAACATCTGCTCTGGTGAGTTTGAACATCATACCATAAAGTATGTCTTCAGGAGAACCTTTTGAAATTGCCTTCTTTTTTTTTGACAAAAAAAACTAACTTTGACTCATGTTTGAGAAGGTGTAGTGCAGACTGGGTCCTTCCTAACAAACTGTAACATACATTTTCAGAAACTAGAAGGTGTTACCTTTCAAATGAAGCATCATAACACAACATCAGACACAAGATGTCCACACAATAAGCATTTCCATTTGGGTATCATAATTCGAGAAGGAGCAGGCGAAATTAGGTGATCCTTAAAGGGTTAACCTATTTTCCACAAAGATTTACACAGCTGTATGAAGAAATTTCGAACACTATTTGACATTATTTTAAAAGTCAGTTTTAAACCCAAATCGAATTAAACTGAAGGAAGCCGAACACTGAACTCTTTTTTATTGTTGGCTCTTTAAGATCAAGGCCACAAAGACTTTTTCACTCAGTGAAATTGGTCGTCTAATGTCTGCAAAGTGTTGTACAAATCAGGTTGTGCAACATGCTGCACTGTTTGAACACTCCAGGCCTGTGTGCTTTATTGATTTCAGTTCATGGAGAAAAGAGAAAAAAAAAGAAAAAATGTGCCTGGCCAGCTGCTACTTACAAGATTCAGTTTTTTTCCAACAATTCCAGCAAAGTGCGATTCAAAATGTGCAGACATTTGTGGCTTAACAAAACAAAGCAGAAGCATGCAAGATATTAAAATCATAAAGAATCACAGTAGAAGCCTGTCTCAAATTTTCAGAAAGAACAATGTCCATGTTTGGTCCTGACTCTGGGCATCAGTAGGAGGCCGGTCCCTGTGCTCCTCTGAGTCAGAGTTGGTCCACATCATATGTCACTAACAGATGTACTTTGGTGCGAGACCATGGAGAGAGTTGAACACAAGCAGAGCTGAATTAAAGTCTGTTCTTTCTCCCTGACATTAGAGTGCATTGAGTTAAAGACAATCTTTTTTCTAGATTAAAGAACAATCCTGTAGCATGAAGAAAATCAAAGGTCAAAAAAGCTGTTTGTGCAGCACTTCACTGTATGTATATAAACATTAATCTTTAATTGCTATACCTTAGCTATGCATTTCGTAGCAATACTGTCAGACTTAACATAAAAAAATGACAATATGGAACACGACTACAAGTGTTGCGTGTATTTTTAACAGCTTTGTGACTTGCTGCTCCAGTAGTAACACTTTTCTTGTGCTTGTGGCTGCGCACTGGAGTGTTTACAGAGGAGTCTCTTTCCAAGCGACTTGTTGACGGTAGCAGCAGTGGTTCAGCCAGCCCACACTCCAAACACAGCCGTTTCATCCTCTTCGGCTGAGAAGACAGCAGAGCACCGAGCAAACTTTTGGACCACCTTTACATATCCAAACAATGATTGTATACTCTAACCGTGCAATATCTTGGTATTGTGTATTTATAGAATTTAAAGGCGAAAAGTGTGTTTACTCTGAATCGTGCAGTTAACTTTCACATACATTCAAATAGCTATTGTGACATTAACTTAACTTTGCTTGTCTGTATAGTTTTTCGTATGTGACACCATCTGCTTGAATGTGTGGGGTAAAAAACATGAGATTTTTGCTTTTTCTGAACATAAATTTTACCTGACTATACATATTAACAATAGCATATCCATTCTAATCCTTCATGGACCACTCTTAAATAGACATTTTTTGGACGCTCAATGACACTTCACACGTTATTATTCATTCACTCCATACACGGTGGCGATAAACTACTACTGTAGCTAAAGCTGCCCTGAGGAGCACTGCTAGAAGCCAGGCAACCAGTATGTGCCATCGGCCCCTCTGGCAGCTATCAATCATTCACTCCCACACAAGGTTCATTCTAGGCAATGTGGGTGAACTGTCTTGCATAAAGGACACAACAACAGTTTGCCATTTTACAACCACCCCACTGTGGCACCTGGTGTTCCCAAAGGTCACCTGTGATGGGTGACCTCTTCCTGCTTAGCGCCAGAGGGCCAGACAGAGTGAAAAATATATGTATTGAATTTCATATATTTTAAAAAGGTACCCCCGCCCTTAAAAGGAAAAAAGTAGTATATCTGCTGTCCAATTGGATCAATTAAACAAGTCAACAAAAAACGTACATTACAATATAAAGTTTTTGCACCGTTAGAGATGGTTGATCAAAAATTCTACATTCAGTTTGTATAAAAATGAATGAAATATTTTTGGCATGATATGTTGAATGTAGAGGTTATATTAAAGGTACATAAGAGGATTTTCTACTTCCAGGTGGATCATCAAGACTATTGGTCCTTCCTATTGTAAATCCTTCTGGTGATATGTGCTCGTCAAATAAGACCAGAGGGTTTTGTTAAAAAAAGTGGAGTGGGAGGTTCTTTCCTAAATTTTGGGAATTCCTCCTGTATACCTTCAAAGGTACACAGTGTAGTTTTTACTCCCATCTAGCTTTGAGATCATATTTGTAATTTACGGTACTACGGTCGCTTCACAGGACATTATTTCGTCTTTGACAGTGGTCCCCAACTCCTGCTCAACCACCGTAATTCAAGATGGTGCATTGACACAGAGTCCTCCAGCTCTCATGTACATTTGTAAGTCAATTTCTAAGTCCATGAAAACAATTCAAAAACATGGTGGAGGAAAATGTTCTTAGAAAGGTCCCATTTGTTATTGGTTAACAAGTTTTATCATTTGGAGCAACTGTAACAATTAAAACAGAGTACCTTTAATGTAATGAACACTGTTTGCTTTCAGTCAATGCTCCAACACACTATTGTCTTGTTTCTACTAAAGATTTCAACAGTGAATAGACTATTTGGGACTCCCGCACGACCAACTCTCTGTGCGAGTATTCCCACTGCTCCAGCGTGATGCCTTGTGCTGCACTGCAGAGGCCCGCGTCGCCCGCCGCGCAACTTTGGAGCTGTTTCCCCGGCAACCAGGGTGTCTGAACATGGAGAGCAACCAGCAACTTCCCCAGATGAGAGCTTTTGTTAGTACAGTCACGATCGGAGAGGAGAGGGAGGCACGCACTCTGGAGGATGCGTGAGTCTGCGTGCACAAACTCACACGGCCGGGCACGACTGCAGGCTCACCACGAAACAAACTTCAGCTTTTTTCGTTTTTTACTCTGGAGTTCAATGTTTAGGAAACTCAAATGATTGAAGATATATAATAAAAGGAGATATATGTATTGTCATGGTGTGCAATATTTGTTAATTGGTTTTATTTTGTTGCTGGTCCATTGCCTTGTTGGTCTTTGTTCCCGGTCCCTGAGTTTCGTTTAGAGTTTTGGTTAGTTTTTTTTTTCCTGCAGTTTAAATCAAAGTGTTCTAACATCAAAATGGATTATTAATTATTGGCATTCTCATTCATTGACAAAGCAATTTATACTCGTTGTTTTACAAAGACGCAGGCCGGGAATTTAACTTAAGTTAATTAAGATTAATTAATTACACAAAATAAATAAACAAAATTGATGCATTTTCATCGTATTTGTTTTTGCACCACGGAACGTTTCTCACTGGAAGAGTTTTAGGCCATATCCCTCCATTTATAAAATAATGTGCATCCACACATAACCAAACATCTGCGTTTTCAATCACATTCATAACGTTCCAAACATGTGTGTCCTCTAACGTCCTGCGTTGGGGAGTAGAAACATTGTTTACAAGCACTGTCTCCTGTTTTGGTTGTTTTCGAGCGCCAGTCCCTGTGATCACTTTGCTGCTCTCTGAAGTGGAGCGAGTATGTCCGCAGCAGCGAACAGTTTTTAAGGCAGCCATGCTTCTTCTGTGATCAGAGGTCGCACGTTTTGTTTGTTGTTGTTTTGGCACATGTTGTGACTTGCGAAAACACAACACTCCGATTCACAGGCGTCTGACTGGGGCTGACTGGGACTGACTGGGACTCTAAAGTGTGTCTATATACTGTATGTACAGGTATATGTATTACGTATAAACGTAGCTGGCCCATCAAGTGTGTTTGTACCCGGGGCCCAGAATTTACTATATGTGGACGGGGCCTCATACGGACCGATTTGTAGGAGCACCAACTAGCGCACATGAATTGGGTTCAGACAACACGTTGCTAGGCCCCGTGGATGGGGAAAAGAAATTGCTTATCACTGTTCTCAGGTCAAATATTTATATGCGATTAAAATGTGATTCATTAATCACAAAGCCTCTAATTAATTTGATACATTTTTTCAATTGTGTCCCAGCCCTAAAAATTAGATTCCCAAAGTGAAAAGATTGCTTTATTTCAACTCGTTTATCATATTAAGGCATTTTATATTATATTCAATAAATCTAGAGCATTGAGGAGCAAGTGTTAAATTGTTGTATTGATCCAAGCCACGGATTTTGCTCCTTGCATGAATATTATTTAGGTTTGTATCTTTTTCCCATTTTCGCCAAAAATAATTTAAGACCATGCAATGCTTACTGTATGCATGAAGTGCATATACAACTGAGACAATGGTTGCATATTTTTTTTCATTATTGACTTTGTGTTTCTACATATCTTGATGCACATGGCTCATATGCCTCTATCCTCTGCATTAGCTTGGTGAAATATTTATTTAGAAATGCACACATAATTAGAACACACTCTGCGGACACGTGTATATGTGCTTGAGGTCTGGGGAACCTCTGCAGCAGACCAGTGAGGCCAAAACCCAAATGCCATGCGAGCTACAGAGCCTCTCTCTGTGATTGATCAGTCAGGCTGGGAAATATGGCATGTTGTGGTCTGATTTTTAAACACAATTTTAGTTTTAAAAGACTCTTTCTGGTTTGCAAAACTGAATTTATGAAACAACACCAAAAAAGTTAGTTGCCCCAGCTATATTGCAGTGGTTGTCGTCATTAATCCCTGAGCGGAGCTGGTTTGCAGACTTCATGGCAGGCGCAAACCGGTTCAAGGACAGTAGAGCTTGCACGCAGCGGTCTGCAGGGAGCTTGCGTCTCGTTGTATAAAGTCTGTGGTGAAGGGTTTTACATTAAAACAACTTCCACAGCCTTGGAAAAGACACTGGAAAAGCTCCTAGTGTTGACTCGCCGGGCACGGAAACCCATAGAGAAAACAGTCTTTTTAAATTGAAACGGTTCCATCAACCATCATGTTCACACCGCCTTGACACTCAGAGCCAGATGTTTTCATACCGTAACTTACATTTTTACCCAGAACATATTCTATCGGCCAGACCTAGAGGTGCAACGGTTCATCACTGATCCGTGATCCGTTCGGATCAACGTCTTCGGTTCGGTACACACGTGATCCGCGGTTTGACTTAAGAAAAAAAAAAAGCTGCGCACACGTTGTTCAGTCCACACAGAGCGCAGCGCGGTCATGGCGATTGGAGGCGCGGAGGAGCTTGAAAGCCCCGAGTCATTTATATCCCCTGTATGGGAGCATTTTGGCTTCCCTGTCAACTATACTGACGATGGCAAAAGGTTAGTCGACAAAACTGTCACGGTGTGTAAGCACTGTGGCACAAGAAAGGCATACGACAGTGGAAGTACTTCGAACATGGCCAAGCATATATCACCCCGGCGTTTCACTATCAGGAGGGAAAACGAAAGCTTCTTAACACCCGCTCATTGCCGCGGCATTCAAGCAGTCCCTTCATGCACAGTTAGACCGGGCTAAAGTCATTACAAACGCTATCGGTGTGTTTATAGGTGCAGACATGAGGCCATATTCGGTTGTGGAAAACGAGGGCTTTAAACACATGCTGAATGTGCTTGAGCCACGTTACAACATCCCATCGCGCACCCACTTCAGCGAAAAGATTGTGCCAGGGCTTTATGAGCAAGAGAAGAAAAAAGTTGTGGATGAACTATCCCGCGCTATACTGACGGTTGGACGTCCAGGGGAACGGAGAGCTACTGTATGTCACAATAACTGCTCACTTCATCTCGGCAGACTGGGAGATTAGAAGTCCGGTGCTGCAGACATGCCCCCTCTATGAAAGTCACACAGGCACTCATCTTGCGCAGGTACTGACACAAGCAGTGGAGGAATGGAAGCTAAATAGGCCCAGTACCAATATCCCTGTCACAACTGATAAGGCCAAAAATCTAATAAATGCAGTGAATGAGGCAGGACTGGGCCCACAGATAGGGTGCTTTGCACATGTAGTGAATTTGGCATCACAGAAGGGAATCTCAGTCAATAGGATGGACCGCCTCCTTGGGAGAATCAGGAAGGTGGTTTCCAACTTCTACCGAAGCACAACAGCTGCTAATGTGCTTAAGACAAAGCAAGAAATGCTAAAGCTGCCCTCTCATAAGCTCATTAATGATGTCCCAACAAGGTGGAACTCCACTTATGATATGTTGGAGCGTTATCTGGAGCAGCAGGTAGCTATATACTCTGCATCACCCTGTCTGATGATGATGTGAATGTGGCAGAGGAGGTCCTCCGGGTGCTTTAACCCCTCAAAACTGTTACGTCCCTGCTAAGCACGGAAACTTCACCATCAGTGTCAATGATCCTGCCACTGAAAACAAGGATTCTACAATCCATGGCTTCAAGTGTGGAAGACAGCACCATCACTCGAGATGTCAAGACATTAGAGAGGACCTGCTGCCCAGATACACTTTAACCCCTACTCTGCAGGACTTCCTTCACAGGACCCTGCCCTACGCCAGAGGACATATAGTGACCTCACATCTGAGATTCTGAGCAGTCTTAGCACTGAAGACTGTGATGAGGTAAAGAAAACAAATATTATTACAAAAAATATATACATTTAAATATTTTTTTTTAATTTCAGTAATAATGACTTATTTTTCAGTTCTTTGAAACATAAAAATAAATTATGGTTTTAATATATAATTTTTTTTATTTTCTGCAGGGTCAAGCTGCAGAGCCAACAGGAGCAAGCCTGGACACATCTCCAAAAACAGAAGTCAGCCATGGCAGAGCTTTTTGGAGAGACCTTTGTCAGCTTAGAGATGGACAGCAAGAATCTTTCTGTCATCATCAAAGAGGAGGTGGCATCCTACATGGCAGCAAGTGGAATTACTGCTGATGGTGATCCACTGACGTGGTGGAAAAGGAATCAGAGTAAATACCCTCATATTGCCAAGCTAGCAAGATACTACATGTATCTCGCTGTGCCAGGCTCTTCGGTTCCTTCGGAGAGAGTGTTCTCAACGTCAGGGGACATAGTGACTGCAAAGAGGTCCACACTCTCCCCAGACAATGTAGACATCCTTGTCTTTTTGAAAAAAAAAATGAAATTATAAGTTCAGGTATGTCTTTCCCTGTTTCAAGAAAGATGATGTGTCTTCTTCTGTTGCACTTTAAATGGTTTTTCATTCATTATTTATGTTAAAAATAAGTTATGCCTTGTGCACTTTAAAGCTGCACTAACTGACTTTATATTTGTATGTGCTGGCGTGACATATTTTAGATCGACTACTAGCCCACACTTTCGTAAGAAAGACATAAAATAAATAAAAAAGACAAAACTATGTTTTTCATTTTTTTTTATTTTTGCTGATCCGAAAAATGAACCAAACCGTGACTCTGAAACCGAGGTACGATCCGAACCGTGACTTCCCTAGCCAGACCTATTGACCAGTTAATTGTGATTGACGCATTGCCAACGATGGCTCAATTGGCTGGCGCGCAGAAAGTGTTAAGTAAGCAATGTGCAGAAGTATAAATTGAGCTTCAGAAGCGATGAATAAATGCATATTTTTGCTGTTGACCCATTATATTCATCAACATCCCAACAAATATGTTTTCAAGATCATCAAAATAAGATTAAAACTAATTGAGCACAATCCTCAAAAATTGGCTCCAAGAAAAAAAATAAAAATAAACAGTTTGTAGTTTCCCATTTCGTAGTTTTAGTAGTTTTAAATGTCAAAATGTCTCAACTATTTGACCTGAGGAATCAATGTCCATCGAGACATCTAGAAGAAGTGAGATAATCACCTGGCATCGGCTAAATAAAAGTAATTCCCTGCTCTTATACCGGCTTGCGTTCTCTTCTGAGTCTGGGATTGTATTGATCTGAAGTGGTCTGCTTTCTGTGGTGTAGAGCCTCGTTTTGCCCGAGGACTCATAATGTCCTACTTTTTTGCCTCTCTGTCTCTGACCGCCATTCTAATCATAAGTTATTTTTAAATGGCAGACAAAATATGTGTCTCATGCAGGGGGATGTCACCTGAAAAATAAATCACTAACTGGGAACATGGAAAATAAAAGGGCTACACAATATCTGCCTTCATACCCGTAATGCTTGCGAATTATGATTTAAGGAGAATAAATAATAAAATCTTTTTATAATGAAGAGTGTCTCTTGGATATTGATAATAATAATGTATCGGTTCAAATGTCATTATTCTTTCACTCCACACATGGTAGTGATAAACTACTACTGTAGCCACAGCTGCCCTGGGGCACACTGACCCGAAGCAAGGCAACCGGTGCCATCAGCCTCTCCAACCACCACCAGCCATTCACACAAAAGACTCATTCTAGGAATATTTGTAAGTATTAATTGCAAGTGTAAGTGTAATATTTTCTCTAACTCCATAACATAAATATTCATTAGAGAAAAACGTCATGTGAAGCCTTTTTTGTTCTTCCTTATGGAGTTGTCTTGTATCTTTTTGTGCATTCCTCTCTCCACTCATAGAGGCACACTCAGCCTTGTGTTCTGTGCGGGCCCTGTGGCCACTGGTATTGGGACGA